TGGTAATCTTCTAAGTCAATGTAGGGAATGTTTGAAGACCTGGAGTCATTGCCGCCGAAAATATCCTTCCGGCTTGCTCCAACATCTCCCTGCCTGCGTTGAGTCTTGCCATTGTGTTTGACATGACATGGGGACCAAACACAGATCCAGATCCTATTCCAGCTGGCGGCCCAGGAGACGCGTAGAGACCACGACTCTGCTGGGGTTGAAGACCGGGTCTGTTAGGCATCGTAGGGGCAGAAGAGCCCCAACGCGGGGGACGCTCATGTGGAGCGGCTGAGATGTGGCAATGGCGTTGGAAGTCGGATGGTGTGATCTCAGCAAGGTCGCTATCATCGCTACCAAGCAAGGGCTGGGAATCTTGGGTTCCATTGACGGGGGAACGGTGAGAGTGCAGAGAATCCGATGGTTTTGATCGCGCCCGAGATTCGGGGAAACGGTCAGTGTCCGTCATAGAAGGTCTGTTAGACGCAAAAGCAGGACCGGAAGCGGAAACAGAAGGTCTTAAAGGAAATATGCTTTGCGAAGACGACGGCGACTCAGACGGCTCATAGAAGGAGTCATTAAGTCGGCGAGCAAATTCCGCGTCACGGCGCTCCTGTTCCCTGCGTTCCTCAAGCCATTTCTCGGCCCTTCTTTGCTCTTCTTGGATCTCGCGCATGATATCGGCGCTGTCGATGCCCAAGATCTGGCGTAGCTGTTCATTGCCAGCGAGAGGGTCTCCTAGGTCATCGTCGGAAGCATCATTGCTAGGCTCAGCCTCAGGACTAACGCGACGCATCCGCTTTGGTCGCCTGGGATTTGGGGCCTCCAGGTCGTCTGTGAAATCCGAGGAGTCCGAGTCATCTTCATCGTCTTCAGGGTGGCTATCCTCACTGCTGAAGTGTAGACGCTTTCGCAGAGTCGACGGTTCATGAGCGACATCAAAGCGCAACACAGACCGATCATCGGAGGAAGAAGACGAGTCCACCGAAGGTGTACTACCAGCATTTTGCGGGGCATCAGAAAAGGCACCATCTAGCTGTGCAGAAGACAAGCCCGAGTGGACTGGACCAGGTGGCGGAGACGCAGCGGACGGGCCCCCAGTGGAACGACCTTGGAGCACCGCTAGTCGCGCTTCCAGGCGTTTGATGACATCTAGAATCTCTTGTCGGTCTTCAGCTGCATCTGGACGTTCCTCGTCCAAGCTTTGCAGAATGACCTGGTTGAGTTCAATATCCTCTAGGATTTCTTGGATTGACGCGTCGGACGCGGAGGCCATTATTCCCGAAGTTACTGAGCAAGGCTAGACTGGCAGGGCGCAGGCCGACCCCACAAGAACTCAGAAAACTGGCGGTTTGATCTCACCAGCGATCAAAGAGGGATCGCTCGTCTATTCTTATTAGACAATGGGAGAACAGAGGCTGTAAGAGAAGATCAAAGAAGGGGAAAGGCAAGGAAGAAGGAGGTTAAAGTAGATGGGGGCGCGGTATTCGGGGGGATCTGATTGATGGAGTTGCGGGAGTCGCGATCGCTTGGCGGTACCTGGCAGCTGAGTTTAAAAATTAGAAGAGACAGAAGATGTAATTAACACAACACTTTTTTAGTCTTTGTTTCCCTGCTTAAGTGAATCTTTCTGAATGAACCTCTTAGGCGTCATCCGCAGGGACTGCGACCATGGTAAAGGGGTACGATCACATAAGTACCTCTGTGAATTCAAGGCTCTGAAGTTTGCCCCGGGTTGACTGGGTGGCAATCTCCATTCCCTACCGCTTCAGGATGCCTGAAAAATTGCTTTTGCCGGATGTCCGTTCTGGCCTGTCATATTGAAGTCTATCCCAGGTGAATATAAAAATTTTACAATTCTCTCCAGATTGCACGGGGAGACGACACTCCTTACTGTATCTTTTGTTTATCATCCAATCATCTTCAAAGGATCCAAATGATTCAGTAACTGTGCTCAATTCATGTGCATTCATCCGGCAGCTATAGTTCTTTAACGTAGTAGAAGCAGTAACACCACCGGCTGTGGCGCTCATTAGCCACACTTTATGAATCTGCCCCCTTTTATGTGCACGTCTATATCCGGCATCTATCACGCTTCAGATAGTATTCCTTTGTCTTCAGCGATGGGAAAGCAGTAATTTTGCCAGTCTTGCACCTACTTACGATAGCATATCCAGTTAATGTCAGATCAGCCACAGTAGTGTCTTACCTCCATCTGCCGGGTAATTATGCATCATGCCATGATGCACATGTCTAGCATTCGCTCATCTCCGTCAATATTGTGCTATGTTTATGAGCACTGCTGGAACAAATGGTACGTTTCAGTCTGTGCTGCCTTAGAGGGAATCCAAGTCAGCCCCTCATCTTGAGGGGGAGGACAAGAGGCAGATTCTGGCTGTGGCTATGCTATTAGTACCAGCAGACAATACGAGGTAGGCAGAAGACAAACACTTCGACACATACATATATTTCTATGTGGAAATGGTTGTCGGATTGATGTAGACATATCTAAATTGAGATGAACACGTTGAACAGTGTCGATTGAATGAACAACCAGACCAAACCAAGAAGCAAGAAGACAATGACTACCAGTTCAAGGGCCATGGTTCTGCCTCGTGCCGTAGACAGCGACGGGCAATCGGGTCAGGTCACGAGCTGCTCTCTGGGATGCAATGATAGGGTCCTCTGAAGAGCCAGAAGGAATGGATGAGGCCGGGAAAACATAGTTTTTCGAGCAGGACGGTGGGATTAAATAACTCAAGCGACAGCATGGTCACGGCTCCATGGAATATTCCTTGATGCTTTTATTTCCTGAGTTTTGTAGAGGAAAAGGCAGTAAAGGATGCCTGAAGCTATTTAGCTCGCAATTCTGCTTGATTTAGGGAAGTTCCTTTTCGATGTAATGAGCACGGGTAATAAGCTCTATGTCTCAACGAAATGCAGTTATACGCGCATCTGGCTTTCTTTATGATGTTGACCAATAACTCATGATGCTGATACTATGTGATTAGTCACGGCTCAAGACGGAGAACTAGAAGCGATGACCATCAGGCGCTAAAGCAGACCGGGGAGGGATATTATACGGCCAGACAGGCCTGTCGACGAGAGTTTGGCAAATCTACTCTTGAATGACCCCTGTATCTCCCAATGCCTATGAGGTAACTCAAGTAATTGGACAGGAACTGATTCAATTGTATATATATGATCTATCTAGATCTTAACTACGCTTCTTGCGCCGGACAGTGAGCTTTGTGGTCACAGGTGGCAGCTGGAAACGGCCCCATCCTACATGGTGATTGGTCAACACACTTTCAATAAAAGCTACCGATCAACGAAACTTACTGTGAATCTTAGGACGCACTAAGATAGGCTGAACGTCATAGTTTAGTAGCATCTCCGCGATGAACACCTTGAAAATGTGGGCAAAGATAAAGCGTCCAGGGCACTGCCGACGGCCGTGACCGAAGACCACATACTCATCGCTAGTTGTGGTCATCGAACTCTGACGTATCGCGCTTTCAGATGCATTCTCGATGTAAAACCGATAGGGATTGTATCTGTCCGCCTCCGGATATATTTCCTCATCACGGTGGAGGGCATACTGGGGGATCCCGACCTTTGTCCCGCAAGGTAGGAAAAGACCGTTCGCAAGACTGACACCAGTGGGGGCGACGACCTGCATTGTGAGTGACACCACGAAGTGAGAAAGGGGAAATTGAGGAATTCGCGCATACCTTCCTCGTTGGGCTGGCAGCGTTGATGCCGTTCAACCGAAGGCTCTCCTTCACAGCACTGTCCAGCAGAGCAGCCCTTTCCAGGTCCTCTGCATTCCAGTAACCACTTGAATTACCAGCAATGCTCTCAATTTCTGCTCTGAGATGATTGACAAGATTCTCATCAATGGGATCACTTAGAATATCCAGAAGAACACTTGTAGCAGAGACCGCAGTCGTGTGTACACCCGGGAAATTGATCATAAAGATTCTATATGATAACCACATGGACGTGGCTTCAATCGGCCATTTGCTGCGAAGTCCGGCGCGAATGAGCAGGTCAAGCAAGCTGTCCTGAGGGAAGGTCAGCACAAATTCGAACCGTGGATAAAGGTACTCACCACAGACTTCAGTGTTTCCTCCTGGGCTTCGGGATCCCTCTGCTTTTGCTGCTCTTTGATCTTGGACTCAATGATAGGCTTCATGCGCTTGTGAAAAATCACCTCGAAGTATCTATTGATCATTCCCACTATGGGCCCGATGATCCTGGGAGAAGATTAGACTCCGGTGAATACGATTTAGGGAGGCGCTACCGCCACACCAGCCAGGCTTCCTCCACACCGGCCTCAGCTCATGCCACACCCTCTGCCTACCTTCCGCCTATCTTAGTAGGTAAGGTCCGCTCTCTATTAAGTAAGGCTTGCTTTCTGGATTTTCTGCCTCAGGTAATGATGATCCTAAAATAGTAGGCAGTGAGAGTCTGCCTGCTCTAAAAAACCAGCCTTATATCATAAAGAGCGAGTCTTATCTACTAAGATAGGCGGAAGGTAGGCAGACGGTGTGGCATGAGCGGAGGCCGGTGTGGAGGAAGCCTGGCTGGTGTGGCGGTAGCGCCCCCCACGATTCATTAGCATTGTGGACATACGTACGGGTGAAGGAAAGACGGAAATGCCTTGATGATACTTGCCCCAAAAACGATGGCATCTGAGCAATGTGCCATGGCATTCAGAAGAGTCTCGTCGCTATGGCCTGGTCCAATTGCAAGCACATTAATCATCCGCGACGCCATCTTCTCCATTGCACAGTACAAGCTGACGTCGACCCATGTCTCTGAATCCTCGCCCCAGAGGTCTGCCAGACATGATCGGGCTTCCTCAGCCAGTGACCTTGCAACCGAGTCCGTCTTAAGGGTTTCAGTCAGATCTTTACTGATAAGTTTGACATAGAAATCATATTTCTTGGCAAAAGCTAGCGGCCAGCTGGTGTACTTCAGTTGGAAAAAATCAGTAATATAAGCTTTGAAGCTGTATTCGTTTTCTTTCGAAAACAAGACGTGCTTAGCCAGGTCTTTTGGAAGAAGAACTTCATCGCCTTCAGCGACGCTGGGCAGCACGAATGGTTTCTGATGCTTAGAGTACTAAATAGCAATGAGATTAGCAAAACTATCACCCAACTTATGATGCATGCTTCAGAGGCGTGCCACCAACCTTCTGATAACCCTCCCGAATGAAGCCTATGGGATTGACGCCAACGAAACGCTCCACCGCACGTCCTACAAGATCCTCTCTGTTCAAAACCCGAGGAATGCCATTAGGAACCGACGAAGTCTCAAAGAGTTTTACGACGAGGCACAAGCCAACGCCTATGATACCTATCACGAGCCAGGAGGCGATGCTGATACTGAGAAACATGTCTCTTCGGTTGGGATATGTAATTGGTCCTTCAGACAGAGGTAAAGCGGACATTGACCGGATTGATCGATACCATAGAGTGATAGTTACGCACAGGCACGCCCTTTATGTATACGAGGGGAGAAAAAAAAGAGAGAGAGAGCTGTGTGTATTCAGACAACATCATCGGCTGCTTCCAAGTTTTTCCTGTGGATGAATGTATGGAAGCTCTGGAGAGAGCAGGTATAGTCAGTTACAACAAGGCCAACTGACCTTGGCACCGGAGGGCCCCGGTCCATCGATCATAGGTTGCCCATAATATTGCGACGCCTGGATAAAACATACTGACCAATAATATACTGGACCTGGCTGAACATTCCGAGCTACCATGAACTAGGGAAACTATTGGGAGAGACATACTTCTGTCAAACTCGAAGTGCTCCGGCCTGCATACCGTATACTACTTGATTGACAATCAGAGACTAACCCTAAGCTGTGGATAATACATCAACAGCTCACTGCATAAGACCTTCAGCCATCCTGACATTTTCGGATTGCGAACTCACAGACCCACTGTACACTGTCAATCTATATCCACCTGCCATGAGAGAGGAAACCCTAATGCGTCACATAACTGGCATGTCCCCACACAGGAGATGGCTGACCCATTGTAGTAAGGTTTCAGGCATCCCACAGTAAGATGCGACAAAACCTTCTTCTCACAACCGGATCCACTGCACCATGTGGTGGCCATTATCAGAGTCGGGAGCAACCAAGATAACCGGCGCACATATTTCCTGCCGTCTCTGATGCTAGACGCTGGACTCGGACGGAGATGCAGAAACTAGGTATCCTTGTGCAGCTAGTCTAAGCACCAAGCGGGCATGATTGAAACCTAAGACCCGCGAGTCAGGGTCCCGAAATAATTGACAGATATTGTCTTCTGCTGTATTGTTGTTGTTTTTGTTGTTGATGATAATGAAGTTGGTTCGTGTATAATATTTGAGTATAACTTCCTGTCAGACAGTCAGTGCCGTCTAGGATCACCAACTTGACGAGGGTACTGGCTTTATTCTGACATGGGAGCATATAGCATGATTATAGAATCATTGTGGCGCACTGGCTTGGGACAACCGAGTATGTCCGATTACGCTTCTTGTTCATCCCGTACTTTGGACTGAAGTTGGATTGCCCAGCATGTCTCGCCTCATAGCTCAGACCCATATCCCAAGATAGAATTGATTTCGTACCAGACCATACGATAACGGATGATAAGCTTTCGAGACATTTACTGTAGCCAGGCACTATCAGATTTTTTATGCTATGTCTGCTGTCTACGTGGCCTATTCTTACTATGAAGTTGAGCCACCAAAGGAAGTGTTTGGATGCCTTTCTGTTGCGGCGATCAGTATGCGTTGGAGCATTGGAATGGCCAATTTGATAAAATGATATGGGCTAGATTTAGTTGAGTTTAGACACGAACGATGTGTCTGCCTCTTAAATTGTATACCGTATGGATAGTGAGTTGAATGCCTGAGGCGGAAAAAATAAGATCATTTTCGGCGGTCCCGCGGACAATCCATGAGTGCCCGTGTGAGAGCGCCAAGTCACACGAGACGATCGCTCGCATGTGGGTATCAGCATCCGGCTTGCAGAATGGTCCTCGGTCAGGTTACTTAATTCGACTATACGGGGAAGCGGTGGCGGAGTAAATATGTATGTAGATCTCCGAGACCGAGAAAGGTGTTGAGTCGTTGAAAGTTTATCAACAGGGTTGACCAAGGCAGGAAGCAAGTAGCTTTTTGTAGCAGTCTTGCTTGTGCAATTGAGCCAGCGAATCTGCACCGCTGACGTAGAGTTCAATGTAGCATTTTCTCCGACATCTGCAGCAAGGGGGAAGTGTAATGCAGACTGTGAAGCAAGAAGTAAAGGGATCAATCAAGTTGGTGGTGGTACTACTCCGTACTTCGTTGATCACAGATCACAGGGACTGGTTGGCTGGCTGACTGGTATCTATCTAGTGAGAGTGGTGGGCAGCCTCGGTCCAACCGTGCCGCGACCGCCTCCATTTCACATGTTCCGTCGCCCGAACTCTCCGGGGTAAGCTCGCCGCAATAATAAGCAACCCCGGGGTCCAGCGCTGCTATTAATATATAATTCCGGTCCCTCCTCGGTGACAGTCTGTCTGAATATCTGGTTACATCAAAACTTACTAACTCCTCTCCTCTCCGTTCACTGTCGGTTTACCCTTTCTATCTTCTCTCATAGTCACCATGTCTCTCAAGAACGGTACGTCTATCCTCTCATCGCCATCCTAATGGTGAGCTGTGGCTGAACATCGTCAACCCCCCCTACAGACGCTTTCCCTTCTTCTGCCGCCTTCGACGCCATCAACTCGACTCTGCAGGCTGATGCTGCCGAGCGCAAAGAGGCCATCAACAAGGCTAAAGCGGTGGTCGCCTTCAACATCAAGAACGACAAGGGCAAAGAAGAGAGCTGGTATCTCGACCTCAAGGACAAGGGTGTTGTGGGCAAGGGTGCTGCTCCCGAAGGAGGAAAAGCTGATGGTGAGTTCAAACAATTATTCGCACCAGATGACGGATCCGATGCTGATGAGGCATCGATGTTATTGCAGTGACTCTCTCTCTTTCGGATGCCGACTTCAGCGCCCTCGTAAGCGGCAAGGCCAATGCCCAGAGGCTCTTTATGGGTGGGAAGCTCAAGATCAAGGGCAACATTATGAAGGCGACCAAGATGGAGCCTGTCCTGAAGAAGGCCCAGGGCAAGGCTAAGCTATAGATACCCGGTTTTTGTTCGTTATCTTTCTGCTACAGTTGAAACATCAATATTGAAACACTGCTGGTATTGTGTTTTTTTATGTATCAGCTGGTACTGTTTTCATTGTAGGCTACTGGGCACTGCTACTATCTATGTACTAGGGGTAGGCTTAAGAATGCTGCGACGTCATTTCAATCAGGTAGAACGTAATCCCGGTAGATTACTAGTATTCGATGACACGTGACCCGAAAACACCGTAATCTCAACCGCTCCTTCCGAGCGCGCCTAGATAGCAAGAATCAAGCGTTTATGACGACTTCAATATTGATCTATAACATCGTTCCAACAGGCTATGAGCCTGGCTCCAACATGATGTCTAAACCCTATACCAGCAAGCTGTCGGTTCAAATACAGGCCTGATCAACCTACAAGAATTATGACATATGATGCCCTGAAGTCTACAGAGAAACGACTATTACTACATATCTAGATAGATGTCCCTAAGCAGCAAGTTATTCCCTAGAAACTGAATTGAATTATTGAATCCACTATACCGCAGCAAGTCTGAGGGGGCCGTGTTGAGACATTTGAGTTACCCCTGCTGCTTGGTGGCCATCGATATATCGTTTCACTAGTTTGGTCTACGAAGTACTTGGCAGAAACATATAAGTTCCAACAGTATTCATCGAAACTGTAGGATGGAGAAACACTCGAGCTCGTAAGAGTTAGGGAGAAATAATTTCGGAGAAAAACCCGATGATTTTATGACTGTGTTTCGTGTTATTGTGCCCTCCATTATCGGGCTTTTATCACGGTGGTTTCCATAAGATGGGCTGAGTGGTCACGTCATGCCGATGAAGTATATATTTGCCGACGCAGTGGTCGCTACTGCCACTACCCTGTACTCATATTACTATGTGGTACCCTCACCAAAATATTTATTGAACTAGAAATAGCGGACAATCAGATCGGCACTCTCCGACTACCAAAAGAATTAACTTAATGAACACATGTAGGTGTCAGCCATCTGCGCAAAAAAGGCACGCCCTGCAGCTGCGAGAATGAGGGAACTTGCCATGGAAACCAAATTGGTGAAAGAATTGCGGGTGACCCGAAGTGGGAAGAAATCACAATACCCCGTATTGAGACGGTTTGACATGCCGCCTGCACTTCAGGGTGTGTGTAATAGACGTAACAATACATAATGCGGAAGACATGGATGGGGAGTGCAGAACAAAATAAAGAAACCCTCTTTTCTTCCAACATCAGGACCAAAGAGCCCCATCATCATAATCATGATAATGGCCGCCGGCTACCTCGTACAGGGTCTCTTTGCTAAGCAAGACCCTGGTCGACCATGGCTCATGGCCGCCTCGCCTGGGGCACGTAAAAAGCGAAAGCGCCTTTATGTCATCCCGCCAAGATGTCACCTTGCATAGTCATCACGTGACCGTAATTTTTTCTGCCAGCAACCTTCCCTCTTTGCCGGCAAAAGTCGCGAGCCGACGCTTCAAGGCTAAAAAATAAAGCTCACTGGAGCACACACCCCCATCTTCACCAAGGCAGAGCGCATCGAATGGAGCCGCGCGTCTTCATCACTACATCTAGCAGTACCTAACGCTCACTGCTCTGCCTTTCACCTTTCCCCCTCCTCCTTTGATTCCGTTTTGGTCTCGTGGCCTCGCTAGTTTCGCGCTGCGCGACTCATTCACAAGACGATCGCGCAATAACCTGCCCTCACTTCCTGGACAGGTCTATGTTGGGATAAACCACAAATCTGGACCAAATCACTCGCGATTTCTCGATACAACACCTGCGCGGAATACGTTGATCGCCTGGCTTACCGGTCCGTTCACACGTACTCATTTTAGAGGGCCCCATATCTCAACCGACGCACCATCTGAGAGTCTTTGGAGCTACGGGCACAGATTCTACCGGACGGATTCGAGAGGCCAACTGCAGTCCCCAGATATCTTTCGTACGCAGTGAATAATCGTACACCGTGCATGCCGAACGGTCATTAAGGGGTGAATTCGGACGTCTAAGAAGGGGCTGAAGCCAACTGCTGTCTAAAACCGTCGAGAAACTCGCCGCTGAAGACGTCGGGGGCTCCACTATAGATGTCTAAGAGATCGGCCCAGGGCCCTCAAGGGGACAAGGATACCGATCTGTTTCAATTCAACATGTCGAGCACACCGGACGATAAGCCGCAGCGGGCAACCGCGGCGCAGCTGGCGAACAGAAAGTAAGTGGATGTAGACCGACCTTTACGGCCAATGTCATGCATGCAATCATTCACTTGTCCTGCAGCCCCCAAAGTTACTGGGACGTGTGCTGAAAACAGGGCTCGAGTTTGATCTCCCATTCTATTCTTTGTATTCTCTCCTCGTCCAACACCTCGCCTTATCCACACGCTCACACGCTTTTACTTTATGTTTCATCTTATCATCTCGCTCATCAGTCTCATTTGCACGTCATTTAATTACAAAGTCGTTGCTAACACTGTTATCAGAATCAAAGAAGTTCGGAGGCGTCGTCCCAACAGTGCTGCTCCGAGTGCTCCCGCGCCGTCGTTTGGCGGAGGTCCTTTCGCTTCCATAGATCCTAACACAGTCTCTTCCACGCCCGCTAGTTCCCAGACAGCGTCCAACGGATTCACTTTCGGCCAGAGTCAAAACCAGAGTTTTCCAGGAGCTAGCTCAGCGCCCAGCCAGAACGGAGGCACTCCATTTGCTTTTGGCTCTGGAGGCGGTGGAAGCTCTTCTTCTTCCTTTAATTTCTCTTCATCCTTTGGAGGTACAAGCTCAGCTAGCAATCCATTCGCCAGTATGAACACTACTACTTCCGACCAGTCATCTAAACCGGCTAGCTTCTCTGGATTCCAGGGCTCACTCTTCAATATCCCTCCGGGCGGAAACCAGTCTCCCGCTCAGCAGCCTTTGCCTTCAGGCTCAATATTTGGCACATCATCCCAATCGAATGCTAGCACGGGTGGCCTTTTCGGCGCCAGCACAAACAATGGCCCTTCCGCCTCTGGTGCGGCTACTCCTGCGTCAGGAAGCATATTCGGCCAAAATAATGCTGCTGCCGCTGCTAGTACCCCTTCCACGAATCTCTTCGGGCAGTCTAGCGTGAAGAAACCGTCCCCATTCGGTCAATCCTCAGCATTTAGCGGAGATGACTCGATGCAAACTTCCCCTGATGCAAAGGGTAGCGGGTCTCAGCAGAAACCATCCATCTTCAGTAGCGCTCCTCCGGCTCAGCCTAGCTTTGCGGGCGCTGGAAGCACTTCATTGTTTGGTGCATCTGCTTCGTCGGCGGCAGAGACCCCCTCCAAGCCCGTCTTCGATTTCAAGGCAACCACCCCTTCAACATCACTGTTTGGCGGCGCTGCCACCCCAACCCCCTCTGCTTCCACACCCGCCCCGGCTGCTGTGACCACCGCTGCTCCGGCATCATCCTCATTATTCGGCGCTGCTTCGCCCGCGAAGCCATCTACGCCATTCCAGAATCCTTTTCAGTCATCGAACCTCTTCCAGACCACACCCTCAACATCGCAAAAGCCCGACGAAGAGAAGAAGGAAGAGCCCAAGCCTGCTGACTCGCAGCCTAAATCTCCATTCCAATTCTCTGCATCAACGACTACACCAGGCTCTCTGTTTGCTAAGAGCGATGCCCCTGCCTCTCCAGCTCCGGCCGCTCCTTCAACTGGTTTATTCCAGACTTCGTCTACGAAGAACCTCTTTGAGCCCAAACCACCTGCAACTGCAGATGCGGAACAGACGAAGGCGCCAGCAAACCCCTTTGGTGGCTTGTTTGCGAAGCCGGCGACTCCGAGCAAACCTGCAGGCGAGCAGCAGCCCCTTCCTTCCTCTTCCACACCTTTCCAGGGTCTTTTCTCCAAGCCAAGTACTTCCAATGATGCAGCAAAGACTAGCGAACCGGAAAAGCAGGCCACCCCTGGTCCAATGTCGTTTGCTCCCTCCAGTGGTGGTTTCTCCCAAACCTCTAATCTTTTCTCACCCAAGCCTGCAGCATCACCGGCTCCCGCCGCGGAGACTCAAGCAACGGCGGCTTCAACCTCTGCTGCTCCCGTTGATAGTCCCATCAAGGTCAATGGCGCGAATTCCTCACCGTCGGTTTTCACCAATGGAAACACTGCACCCTCCACTTTCGGACAGATGCAGACTCCGAAACTGGCAGGCAAGACAACGGACCCGAAAACTTCCGAAGATGCTGAGATGCTTTATCGCATGCGCACCCTGAACGAGTGCTTCCAGCGTGAACTGGCTAAATTGGACCCCTCGAGCCAGAACTTTGACGCCGCTGTCCAGTTTTACATGCGTGTTCGCGCCACCCTTGGCGCTTCCGTTGGTTCTAAGCGCAAGGCATCAGGCGAAGCTGAGGATGCTGTTGCAACTAAGAAAGCTCGGCCATTTGGTATCCCCTCCGAAAAGGCTGACACGCCCAAGGAGAACTCTACTACTCCAGCCGTGTCTGCACAAAGCTCCACGCCATTCAAGGGATTTGGCACAAGCCAGGCCTCTCCGGCAAGTTCCAAGAGAAAGTCCATCGATGAGGGCGATGACAATAGCCCTGCTAAGCGTGTCAACGGAGACTCCAGCACAGCAAACATATTTGCTCAGTCTTTCTCAAAGTCCAAGACCGAGGCTGAGAAGCCTGAACCTTCCGTGGTCAAGCCGTCCACTCCCGAATCTACTAAACCCGCTCTATTCTCTACTACGCCAACTACGGCGCCCGCCAAACCTCTGTTCTCTCTCTCGGATTCGGCTTCAAAGGGTTCGGCTTCCACCTCGCTTTTCTCGTCGTCAATGTCCAGTGCTACTTCAACATCAGCCGCTTCCGGAGGAAATGCCCCCAAGAACCCTTTTGTACTGAAGCCCACCTCCAGTGAAGGCTCTTCCACAGGCTCTGCAGGTGGCACAGACTTCTTTGCCCAATTCAAGGCCCGATCTTTCGAGGATGCCGAGAAGGAGAAAGAGAAGCGCAAAGCTGAAGATTTCGACTCGGAGGAAGAAGACGAAGCTGAGTGGGAACGCCGTGACGCTGAGGAACAACGGAAAAAGCAAGAGCAGTTTGGGACTCAAACCCAGAAACGCGCGAAGTTCGTCCCTGGTAAAGGCTTCGTTTTTGAAGATGAGAGCAACGAATCTCCTGCAAAGAAGGCAGAGGACTCCTCTTCCACTACCCCCGGCGCTGGCACCATCTTCTCTAGCCAAAATAACACTGCAGTCAAGTCCAACAACATTTTTGGTCATCTGTCGGCGACTCCATCTGAGGCCGAAGACAATGACAACGACGCGGATGACACGGAGGAAGCCTCTACTCCTGGCGACGAGTCGGACGATGCGGCCGAAAATGCTGTTGCAGCCGATAAGAAGGCTGAATCTGCCGATTCATCAGCCAAGGAGCCCGAAGCTGGTGGTCGCAGTCTTTTCGATCGCGTTCAGTATGGTGAGGACGGAAAACCCAAGCGCCAGGGTGAAGAGGAGCCAAAGGGTAACGTTTCGACTCTCTTCGGGTCGTCCAACTTTTCGTCCTCCTTCAACACTCCCACCTCCCTCACCCCAGCCAGCAGTGGCGAGTCCAACCTGGCTGCGCCAAAGCCCGCGACGACCAACCTCTTTGGCGCTCCGAGCACAACCAGCAGCATCTTTGGTACTCCCTTGTCTGGTTCTGGAAACAGCACCCCTTCCATCTTCAATGCAGCCCAAAACGCTACTAAGTCGACTGGGGATAACACATGGAAGCCCGACTCTCCGATTAAGTTTGCCAGCGACTCTGCCAGCGCTTCATCGTCAAAGCCGGACTCTGGGTCGGCAACGCCAGCGCTCGAGGCGCCCAAGCCATTCTCCAATCTTTTCGGAGCACCGCCTTCCCTAACCAAATCATCTACGTCTAAAGATGCTCAACCGTCCCTTGGGTTTACCTTTGGTACACCGGGACAGTCGTCGCCGTCTGTCTTTGCTCCATCCACACTTACTTCTGCCGCTCCCAGTCGCTCCACCACCCCCGGAGGTGCATCTGACACGGGAGCAGAAGAGTCGGGAGACGGTGATGGCGCCGAGTCCTTGCCTCAGCTCGATCTCACGCGTGGTGGCGCCGGCGAGGAAAACGAAGATCTAGTGGCGGAGAGCCGGGCTCGTGCCATGAAGCATACGACGGGCACCGGTTGGGAGAGTCAAGGCGTTGGTTTCCTTCGCGTTTTGAAGGATCGGACCACGTCTCGTGGGCGAATCGTCGTACGGGCAGATCCGAGCGGCAAGGTGATTCTGAACACGCGCTTGATGAAAGAGATTCGATACTCCGTGGCTAAGAACAGCGTTCAATTCCTTGTCCCTCAATCCGAAGGCCCTCCTCAGATGTGGGCCCTGCGGGTCAAGACGAACGCGGATGCCGAGCGCCTCTGCAAATCCATGGAAGAAACAAAGAACTGAGTACTGCACATTTTGATTACTACGACTAGATGCGGTACATAGGATATGCGACTGAATTTACTTGATGGACTTTGCAGGCGTCTAAGTGGCGATGTATTATGATGTGCTTTTCTCTCTTACTTCTGTTTTATATCTACCTTGCCTTTCTGCAACAGCAGACCCTCCACCCTGCGCCGTTTTGGGTCAACCAACCCCCTTCTCCCTTTTGTCCGTTGAAATTGAATCGTCCGGCCTTGCAACTACAGTTATTCTCTTTTTTTATTCACGACGGGCCGATAAAAGACTATCGGCTGTCTGCCGCCCGAACAAACAGACGGACATTTGTGGTTTCTTCCTTTCTCAAATATTCTCACCGGGAACTTGTCTTTGAAGATTGGTGTCTCTTCTCATTTTCTCCCTTCACTTTCACCTTTCAGACGCCTCAGTTCTCCCTTCTTCCCCGAATTTTCGAGAACCTGTGTAAGTAAAAATATTCCTTTTCTGTTTTGGCATCATGCAACTTGACTGCTGCGGCTGCATCTTCGGTAGCGTCGTTTGTTACTCTTACTCTCTGTCTGCCCAACCAGAAAACAGGCGCATCTAGCATAGCGAGTGGGAATTCGAAGAATCTGGTTTTTCTTTCTTTACGAAATGGAATTGTGCTTCTGAAGTTCGATTTTGCCATTGTTCATGTTTATAATTTATTTAAGAATTCTAATAAATTCTTTCACGTTCGGATTTTCTTCTGTAGTATCGGTAAGAGGGGGAGAAAAATGTGTAGTTGCATCAGTGATGGCCCGTACAACTACGAGGGCTGGGCATAAGGTATGCACCCCGCTACCACCACGAGCTACAGCCACGGCCAACGACACCGATTAACAAGTGACAAAGGTCTTAAGGAATGTAAGGGATGGTAATTGATAGCCGACAATCCAGCAAAATCCCATTTTTACTATTACGATATCACTGACGATCAGTCAACCTATATCTTCTACATGGTAATGAAAAGTGGAGGGACCAAAAAAATTGTGATTTTGGAATTTTTTTATTATCTCTTCCAAAAAGCCGAACCCCGTCCCGTTGCATCATCCATCATGAAAAAAGAAAACCCGTCAAGCTTGCAAAGAATCTGGGCTTCATTTTTGGGGGAATAAGATACATGATGTTGTTTTTTTTCATCGATCAAGGAGAAAGAGTAATTTACTCCTCATCGACAACGGCGGTGTGAAGACCCTTGACATCCTTGACGTTGACAGCCTGGACGTAGGAGTAGAGCTTCTCCTTGGCGCCCTCCTCGTCGTTACGCTTGCGGGAGATGCGGACACGGAGACGGTAGGGGACGCCCTTGACACCGGCTTCCCAGACCTTCTTGTTGAGCTGGGGGTCGACACGGACGTCGGTGGTGCCCTATTCAATGAGAATAGCGTTAGGTGGTTGTTTCTCTTTTTTTCCCCCATTTGAGTATGGGGGGAAGGGGGGTACTAACCATAGCACGGGTGGCGAAAGCGCGGATCTCCTTGATAGCACGAGGAGCACGCTTCTTGAAGGAAACACCGTGCATCTATACCCAAAAAAAGAACGAATATTAGTCTTCCGCCCGAATGCCATCTGATAGATGTGATTTTGAGAAATTTTGCTTTGCGAAATTGCGGCCATAGAGGTGGACTTCATCAAACTAATTCTTCTTTTTATGGGATTTGTTTTTTTTTCCTCTTTCAGAAAAAAAAAGACAATCTGGTTCCTGATTGTTCCTCCACACATGTAATTTTTCAGACAGGTGCGGTAAGCTCATCCTGAACCTCTCCTTCTTCACTCTTGTTCTCCGAGTTCGGGAGTGGTAGAGGTGGGCGGAGGAACGAGGATTCGGGTTCCCGCTTGTCTTTTTGTTCTCCGTCCAATTGCCTCCATGTTTTCGAGGTTCCGCGGAAATCGCTCGCAGGTAGAGTCGAGATTGTGATGAATTCAAGTGCATGTTTTTGGCTGTGTTCAACGTACTCTCTTGTGCATGTTGATGGTGTACTCGCGAGTGACAACGTCGGCGATGGCCGAGCGAGTCTTCTTGCCGGTCTTGACGGGGGCGGACATTTCTGTGGTTAAGAGAAGAATGTTAGGATGGGTGATTCTCGCGGAGAGAATGATAGGTTCAGGCAAAATTTGCGGAAAGATCTCACTCACTGAATGAGGGACAGAAGTGTCGGCTGTCGTGGGCTGCAGTGGTCGTCGACTGTCAAGGATGAGGAGATTTCGAGATGGTGTTTTTTCGCAGTGCTGGTGGGTTTTCCAGTGCGGCTCGCTTATCGCCTGTGCGCACCCTGATTCGTCCATTTTGCCAGCACGTGAATACCTTCCCGCAGCTAACTGTGCCATCGCCTGAGGCAACAATCAATCCCGCTTCAGGCTTGCTTGCTTGCTTTCCTACTCTCCTACTGTGGACTGTCACGCTCTTCCGGGACAATTAGGCTAACGGTCGCGGACTAGGTTCATGAATCGTTCAATTACAATCTAGGCTATGACTCGCTCGCAGCATATATTCATCGGACTCAATGCGAAATGCAGGGCTATTTGCTGTCGGCACTCACGTCCGAGTACAAATCGAACCGCCGCTGCGTGTAAATGGGAATACCCTTCCTCGTGTTCTGGATCGTCTCGTTATCCAGATCCGCGTAGATAATGTCTTCCTTCTCCTCCGTCTCAGCCAACACATTTGCGCTCGGATCCGCAACCAAACTGTGACCATAGGCGTGGTACGAGGCGCTCATGTCTCGAGCGGGACTGCACAAGGCCACATACACCTGGTTATCAACGGCGCGAGCACGAGCCAACAGCGACCAGTGCAGCGGACCCGTGGTGGTGTTGAATGCGCCCGGGTACACGAGCATGAAGGCGCCCTTCCGAGCCGCAATCATGCCGGCCTCCGGGAAGCGGATATCGTAGCAGATAGCCAGTCCGATTTTCCCATAGTCCGGCAGATCGACGACAGTCAACTGGTTACCAGGGGACAGGACCTCGCTCTCTTTGAAGGTGATCTTGCCGGGGATGTCGATATCGAAGAGATGAGTCTTGCGGTGGGTTCCAATTAAGGCACCGGTGGGGGAGAACACCAGCGAGGTGTTGTAGTACTTTTTCGTGGTCGGCTCAAGTTCCGGAATGCTACCACCCACCAAGTAGGCCTTGGCTTCTGCGGCGATGGACGAAAGCGCATGGTAGGAAGGGGACTGTTCTTGGGTGGGTGGGGAAGGAAGCAGTGTCTCGGCGTACTTTGGGAAGTATTGAGTACCGTAGGGAGAGTTGAAACATTCCGGAAGGACGATAAGAGAGGCACCAGCTTTGGCGGCTTCGAGAACCTTGGAGCGAGCATGTGCGAGGTTTACTGTTTTGTCGGCGCCTAAAGATCATCAACTCTGAGGATTCATTTCGGGCCAACTTGGAGGGAGTGAGGGAGGCGGGGACGGAGAGAGATCACAGTCGTACGCACCTGAGGCCAGTTGGATCAGGGCCAGTTTCAATGGTTTCTTGAGGAGAGAGGCCATGACTGTTATTGTAATTTACAATAGTAGCGAGAAGGGTGTCTATATGGGGGTAGTGAAGGGAAGGCGAGGCGATAGAGTCCGAGAGAAAGAGTTGGCCGAGTTGAAGCCATGCGGGGAAGCCAGTCGGAGTCGCTCCTTCCCTTCCCAGCTAACCTTGTTACTACTCACTCATACTCACTCCTCTCTTACTATCCAACCGCCCAAAAACTTCATCTCATCCACCACTTCTCGTGACTCATGTTATTACAACAATGATACTAACGTATAATTTCCTTCGTCGACTGTTACCTACTCGTTATCAACTTCGCAGTATAGTACTGACATGAGGGGCGCACGTGCGTCGTCACCTAAAACGCCTACGAAGAAAACTTCCCGGATTAAGTTAAAAATGCTGTCTCATCCGCATTCTGCAACCATCTGCCCTACTAAATCAGTAGGGACGGAGGACCCAGAGATCCCTCCGGCGATTTCCGGAGAAACAGCCGGCAAGGCAACATCAAGGCTACATTGCCGGGATCAGAGCGCTGTTTTACAAATGCTTCGCGTGGGATCGTTATCAATGCAACGCACTCACTATATTACCGTATAATATAGCTAGTCATGACCCTCGATCTTGTACACTCCTTCTCGACTCTCTTATTGCGCCCCGAGCAGAAGGCTAGAACCTCCCAGTGGAGAGATGCGAATGATTGGCGATGCCTGTTACACAAACAACAACAAGAATGCTACCGTTCTCCCGGCATCGTCCCTGTCTGAGATGTTAACAGCACTCAGCCAATCATGTGTGGATGGAGATTAAAGCCGACATGCTGGCAAATTGTTCTCGTACATTTAGGGCCCAGAGCAAGGTCCATGGTGCCAAGCTCTATCTGGCCACAAGCTTATGCTGAACGGTGTCGACTACTCTGGACTGACATTTGGGTAATCTCCCTCCTGCACCATGTAACTTCAGCCCACACACACACACGCTTCTGGGCCCAAACTGGCGGAGCCCGTATGGGGACCCCCACGGTGCACATAGGTCCAGTTGGTTGAATTCAGGGTACATCTAGATTTCGAATCATATCGACAATTCGCCATCAATTGTGTAACAAGCATCTCCCAGAACGTTGCTTCACCTGGTCTGCTCAGGCCGTTTCGGGAAATCTTGGCGCCATCACGATAAAATGTAAGTCGTTAGGAGATACCTATAAAGTGAGAGACCTGTAACTAAACCGGGTCACGTTTATGCCCCAGCTTCGAATTCGTCTTAAGATTTTCATGGTCTCCACCGAGGCCTCCAGTTTCTACTAGAACGAACATTCCTGCCTACATCTTCGTTTAACTCTGTTGTCCCCTAAGCACGATGCCTTCTCATACACACACAGCCATCTTGGCTCTGGCTCTATCCAGTGCTTCGCTGTTTGCCTCCCCTGTTGGAGCTCATACTGTTGGATTGCAGGCTAGGACTCCCGCAAGTGTACGTTCATATTATGATATGAGATTGGAGCATATTGTGCTGACCGGTATACAAGATGAGCAGTCTGTCGGGCTTCTAACTCTTGGAGGCGGTTACACTCAAAAAAGAGATATTGGAGCCATTGATCAAGTTTCCGGCGGCGGCGGCGGCGGCGGCGGCGATGATGACGATGATGGCTCCGGAAGCAATGGCTCTGGAGGCGATGGCTCTGGAAACAACAATGGTTCTGGAAGCAACGGCTCTGGAGGCAGCAGCGGAACCGGAGGTAGCAATGGCTCTGCAAGCAATGGCTCTGGAGGCGATGGTTCTGGAAACAACGACGGCTCTGGAAGCAACGGATCTGGAGGCAGCAACGGCTCTGGAGGCAGCAACGGCTCTGGAGGCAGCAACGGCTCTGGAGGCAGCAACGGCTCTGGAGGCAGCAACGGCTCTGGAGGCAGCAACGGCTCTGGAGGCAGCAACGGCTCTGGAGGCAGCAACGGCTCTGGAGGCAGCAACGGCTCTGGAGGCAGCAACGGCTCTGGAGGCAGCAGCGGATCTGGAGGTAGCAGCGGATCTGGAGGTAGCAATGGCAATGGTAGCGGCAGCAACAATAACGGTAAGGGCACCGGCGCTGACAACGTTGGCTCGGGCACAAGCCTGGTCATCACCATCACCCCAACACAGAATGAAAGCAGCGGCAGTGGTGGTACAGGCATAAGCTCAACCTCCAGTATCTCGCTAGCGATTTCTAGCAACGGGGTGTCGGGCTATGCCAGTACCAGCCCCAGCCCCAGCCACTAGCCCCAGCTATCATCATTCATCCCATACCTGATGCCGAGCGGCATAACTATGAATGTTGGCTAAGAGAGATCCTTCTTCAGATGGCAAGACTTCTTCTTCTTCGAACGGTAAGAAGCCCGACGAATTTGATACCAACAGCAGCAGCGGCGACAACAATGGAAGCACCAACACTGGCAGCGGCTCTAGCATCTATGTCAACGAAACGGGCAGCAACAACGGCTCCAGTCCACACAAAGGCAGTTCCAGTGGTGGTGGTAATGGCGATGATAAGGATGACGACAAGGATGATGATGATAGCAAGAGTTCAGATCCTGTTAGCTCGTTGCTCTCGAATGTTTCGGGCTTGTTGGGTGGCATTCTGCGGCGCTAGGTGATGTTCAGTAGTAGTTGTTGTTGCTGTGTCAATTGTTGCCAAAAGGGTAAGCGGCGGAACAACTGTTATAATGGGTCAGTACTTAGTTGTAGAGATTGTTGCTACTTAGTTTGAGTTTGGTTTCGTTACTGGTTACTGGTTACTTCCTAGTTTGATTCTTTGGTTCGTTTAAATGTAATAACTGCTTACTTATATCGAGAAAGGTCACAATTCTAGAAGAAGTAGTAGACAAATATGTAGTAGTTACTGAATTTAAAATTCTTAAACTCTACTGTTTCACGCTTAAAAGCCAGTAATGTGGCCCTGGGGTATGATGTAGAAGGCTTTGAGGTACCGTGGAGGAGGTGCAAGAAGTTATAAAAGTTAAGATCACTGCCGCTTCACTGTCATCGATCATGATGGCGTCGACGGAGAACGCCTAGCTATAGTCAGCGACATGTAATTGCTGGAACAAATTCCCGCTTACACGCATCAGTATTAGCTACACTAGTGAGTATAGATTTCTATTCCTGAGATTCTTTCTTTCTGCTTTCTAAATTATTTATCTCTATCACCCTCAGATACATGACACTGCAAGCAAATCAGACCATGGAGCAAAAAATGCCAGAAGCTCAGATCATGAAAGCAAGCAGTCCTTCACTCACCAAACCGACTTTCGGTTATCCTTCATTCCGAATCCCGTTCCTGAATGATGCAGACATGGAGATATTCACAGTCTTTGTTTTAATCATGGTTCTGTTGCTTGGATTTATGTGGGCCTCAGAACATATAATGTATTCACTGTGTTTCTATGACAAATTGGTTCCCTTTCTCAGAATTATAGATGACTAACATGGTCGGTTATGCTGATTTAGTGCTCCTGACTCTAATAAGCTTAACTGTGTTATTCATAATCATCCTGATATCGAGCCTCTTCTCAGAGCACTTCATGAGCACCGCGGTCGTATCAAACTCATATTTGAATAAGCCTGAGATATTCCTAGGTAAGGTATCCGCAACAGAGAAGAGCCTAGCCTAAGGAACACGAAAAAGGAGGGGTTTTGCTAACACGGTAGCCCATAAAAAGACAGGATGACTTGATTCTATCTACGCTGTTAGATATAGACCCTGGGTCGATTGCTACACTTATTTGGGATCCGAGAATTTTTGTCCACTGTTGCTATTGATTTACTACTCCAAGATCCTCCACAAGGTTGGATTGCTAGTTTAATATGATTTCCTTTTAGCCTTCCAACAGCTTGTTACATCCGGCTCCAGTGTTTTTGTGGGAGCGTAGCATCAAGATATCCTTTTCCCTTGCAGTAGTGGTCCCATAAGTAGTCGCTCGATTGTAAACTCGAGAGGGCCCCTAAACTTTGTCGCGGTCGCAACTGTGGGAATGGAGTCCGTATCTCCCTCACCTAATCTAGAAAAAGTCCTCACTAACATATAAGCTCAGTCACTGCAATCAAAGCCCCGCGCCTGCGCGAACTCGCCCCAGGATCAGCGTCCCGCACCGCCTGGTATGTCCCTCCGCTAACCCCTTACCAGAAAGCTGAACATAGACTGGTATATCCAGCCTAGCTTATTCAGACAACAGATCTCCTGAAGGGGTGGGTTCCAAAGATAATGTAGCAGTTCATAAGAGTGGGTTTATGAGAAGGGTCGCAGTAATATTCCAAGAGGACAAGAATTGGTCCCGTGTGATACGCGACAGGGTGTCGGCACTGAGGGGTTTACAGATCTATGAATTTTGCGCCTCAGCTACAAAGCCGTCATCCACTATGACACCAAGGCCGATATTGATGGCTGCTTCGCCGCGGGCGGTGTGATGTCGGGCTAGGTTGTCACGGTAGGTGTTGCCGGCAGAGCTCTTCGAAGTTTGAATGCGTACCAGCCCGGATCACCGCAGGCGGAGTGCACGATGCCATCACTCCTGTAGGCAAGGTGAAACAGCATCCACAACCACGTTCCCGGGCACTTCGTCCGATGTAGCTCCCGTGCCGGGAGTCTTGGCGCGTGTCGCGGCTTGGGACCGGATTGAGGGGGTAAGCGATACCAATGTTGCTAGAGTGGTTAGTGGTGCTCATAAGGATAGGCTGAAGCCCCGGCAAGGGAAGTTCTGGGCCAGGCCGAAGATGGATGGGCGTATTGTTGGGGAAGGCAACATGGTTATGGTTGTGGTTTTGGTCATGGTTAAAGGTTTGGAGGAGGACCCGCTCTGAGCGTTGCTTAGCGTAGGCGTAGGGCCAGGGGATATCGTGTGGCTGCGACTCATATTCTGTGGTTGTACCTCGGGATTGGAGCTCTTTGTAGGTTGTTGCTGTGGAGATGGATGGGGAGGAGGATGACGGTGATTGATGAAGCGGGTATAGCGTTTCTCGGACCGAAACATCGACGGCGGCCCGGGAGGAGGCTTCCGCGTAAAGACTGTTCGCGAAGGCAGAGGAAATGTACACGAAGCGGTGGAGGTGGGGACAGGATAGCGCGAAGTGGGCAAGCCGTTCGGTAGCGCCGATGATGCTTTGGGATAGTTTGTGGAGCGGGTCCACGAGGTTGATGGATGAGGCGGCGTGGATGATGATCTCGGTGGTGGTTTTTAAGGAGTGTAAGCGAGGTTGAGGGGGAAGGGCTAGATCTGGCTTCTGGATGTCGCCGTCCAGATAGGTGATCAGGTCCGACGAGATTAGTGTGTCGGACATGGGCTTGGGGAGGGTCTTTTGCCATTTTTGTGCGGCCCGACTGTTTGGAAAAGAGATGGAGATCAGCACAGGGATTCATTTACACGTTACGGGGGCTGTATGTGGTAGAGTTTACTGCTTGCCTTCCCGGCAGAGGAGATATATACATTTTGGGCGAGCCTGCGAGACCGGCCGCAGGACTACTGCGGTGCCCAAGGAGCCCGTGCCTCCGGTGACGAAGATGGTTTTCTGCGAAAAGAACTCCCACATGGTGTTATTTTGTGCTTGAGGTTGAACATCACATTTGCTGTATTACCTGAGTGCCGTATCTTCAATTCTGGGGCATTGTTGGGGTATAATATAATGACTGTGGGGAGGAAGTCCGGTATAGATCGACGAATATCAACTACGGGCAAGGTTCACGATCGAGGAACCAGATTGTCACGGGTGAGCTTAAACAGTCCTTCGAGGACAGTCATTGTAGTAGTAACCATGGCACGGTCTCATCCACAACAGGCTTGCGACAGTGTCAATAGTAACAACGGTGGTGAGCGACAACGTATAACGGCGGCTAGTTCACCGAGGTTGATTAGATAGAGTTGTCAGGTTGGCAGGAGACAAGTGAGATTCCGAGTTGGTGGAAAGTTTAACCGGTTTGGGTGGCGAGCACGCCGGAGACTCTTGGAGGGGGACCACTTGGAGATGGGTCGGTGGAATCGAACCGGCAGCCCCTAGAGCCTATCCAGGTTTAGAGGAGTGGATTAGCCAGAGGATGGTGAACTTGGTTGGTGGCGATTCCCGCCCGGGTTTATTGGCCATTTTGCCTCTGGGAGGGCATGTTGTTCAAGTGTGCATGTGCACCACAACTGCAGGAAGTTTGAATAATGCAAGCCACATCTTAGCAATCACCAATCAAGGATGAAATGACAAATGGTGACAGGACGGAAGGAAGAAGCAGCCGATGGGGAGAAGGATGAAGGGATTTGAGGATATTGAGGAGGGAGATTGAGACACGCAGGAGAAGCCGAAGAGACGCCGGACTGGCTGAGTCATGGCCGGCTAGAGCCGAACAGGGATTAGACTAATTGGACTAACCGGGAATTCTAGAAGGACAGCAAGAGAATTAATTCAGTTTCCCTCTCCATTTCCTTCTCTTCTTCTCTTATGCCAAAGTGCACGGAATACAAACTGCCACTTCCTCTGGCCATGGCGACAAAAGCAATAGCAACAATAATATGGTGATTAATGAAAAAGGGGGCCTGCATTACTCCTTTATTAACTATTATTTTTTATTATGATTATTAACATGGCCTGGAAACATGCTCCAGTCGGTGATTCCCTACTTCTTTCACTCCTCCCCTCCAACTCTCTCTCCCCTTTCTCCTTTTCCCTTCTTGATCCACACACCCCAACCGTTGCCGTTGATTGATTCCCTGCGGCGCTTCCCCACGGCGTCCGTCCAGATTCATCCCAAGGTTCGACCGTCACTCGACGTGCCTAATCCGTTCCCTTCTTTTCTTATTTCTAATTTTCGTTTCCCTTTTCTAGCCCTTCCGTCTACCAGACTAGACCCCGTGTCCCTTTTTGCACCCACCCGATACGAGAATTGGCCACTGTGCGATTTCGCCTTATATTGCAACTCGGGAACGCGCGCTCTCTCTTCCCTCGCCTCCTCCCAGGGCTCCCCTGACGTCCAGATCGCCTATCCGTCGACCACCACCATCTCCATTTCTACCATCTGGTCCGGATAAAACAGGCCTCGCAGGGTTCTCTCGCACTTCCGCCAGATATTGTCAAAACCATCATCTGGATCCTCCCAAGTCGTCTTGAATCCAACCCCAAGACAAGAGACTCCGCCATTATGTTCGAGGACTTCTCCTTCTCGTCCCCGTCGTCCACCAGGCCCTCGCGCCTGGCGCTCGATGGCGACGACCGCCTCATGGTCGACAGTGACAGTTCCCTCATCTCTCCCATGTCGTCGCGCTGTCCCTCCCCGCGCTCCCATCGCTTCCCCCGGACCGCGTCTCGCTCTCGCTCCTCCTACTTCCGCTCCACACAACAGCCACCCACGTCCGTGCCTTTCTCTGCCTACGATCACAAGCGGCTGTCTATCAGCACTCTGACGCGGAAACTTCACGAGCACACCCTTCAAAACCCGAACGGCCTGCAGCCCGAAGAAGCCGGTCGCTTCGATCGTCCCGCTTCTCCAACCCCATCGGATCTGGGCATTTCAACCAAGTTCCCGGGCTACGTCCTCACCCCGCCAGACACAGATCACGATGACGAGTCCCTGACTTCGGGTTCCCTTTCTCCACAATCCGGCTCGCCCTTCCTGAGCCCTACCTCCGTGCCCGCAGACTTCCCCGCAGCCGATAACATTGATCTGAGCGGCAACGGCAACGCCACGACGGCCGCTCCATCATCAGATGCTTGGACCGTCCGCGCTCAAAGACAACAGATCTCCCGTTTGCAATGCAATCAGTCTGATGTAGAAGCCATTCGTCGTGCTCTGGTGTCCGATGACGAGATCATGCGCTCGGCCATGTGCAGGGACTCCATCTGTGAAGAGGACTACCACCCCAGTTCGCTGCCACCGCAGTCTTCGCCGCGAAGACGTGCCCTGACTCTGTCGCGGAATCGGTTCCGTGGTCAGCCCTCTTCCACGGCGTCAGCGGAATCAGCTGGTCCGGAGACCCGGGCACGTCGGAAGAGTAGCGTCAGTGCATTGGCATCGTCACATCGCATCGAGAAGAGCTACCACTGCTCGTCGCGAGATATGCACAAGAAGAACGAGCAGGGGCTGAGACGGAAGAGCCTTGTGAGTGCGGCGTTGGCGTCAATGGTGGAGCAGGGGCCGGAGGAGTAATCATCTCTTCAATTTTCTTTTCTTCATTTCTTCCATATTTCAACTTATCCTCTCTTCTTCTTATTGTTGTATTACTTCTCATATTCTTGATGATATACTTGTTGTTTGTTTTGTTGGATCTATCGTCATCCCTCAGGGTTCGGGCTTTTGTGTGCGCGTTGAGAAGGAAAGATACCCAGATTGTGTACCCGGTTACTTTGTCTTACTTGTCTGGTTTGCTTTGATTTCTTTGGTCGTCTTGTGTGGTGTCCCGAGTATCTACCATGTATTAGTTCAGTTTTACACCTGTAAATATTTACTTCTTTCTTCTCTCCTACACATCAACCTTATCGTTACCGTTACTGGGTGGTTTTACTATTGTGCATCATATAAGCGATTCGTGTCCCGATCAAGTCGGATTGGATTGGATTTGACTTGCATCTCAGCCCGTTGTGTTTCCAGTCTTGGTAGTAGTGGTAAACCATACTATAAACCATAGGTGATACAATAGAAGCATATAGCATGAAGCGTAGCGGAATATAAGCTTGCAAAAGGTTCACGGCAACAGTGACGAGAGTTAAAAACAAGACAAGAAAGAGATCTATTTGCAGTGCATCATAACCCAGTCTTCAATATCAACAATGGAAAAGGATAACCCAAGTCTGCGGGATTCCTGTCAAAGGAACATCCCGGAGATGGAGACCACAGTAGAGAGCAATGGGCAGGGAACATGTCTCGGTGGGGAGGGTAAGTAGGATACGTGTGGCTCATGAAGTATTAATCAATCAATCAGTCAGTCAATCAATCAATAAAATGGGGCAATCAGGCAATCATGGCTGCATATCTGCATGTACGGATGCTGCATATGCACATGCAGACGAGGCAGCAGATAAGCAAGCAAGCAGCGGATCCGGCATATAGAGAGAAAGTGGCGTAGACGATAGTATAAAGTAGAGCTGAAGTTGCTGCGGGCGCAACAAATCAAAGAACGAGAGGAGCCGAAGGAGCGGTGAGGGTATCGAATGAGTGTTGCTGCAGAAGCGGGTTGGCGTTACTGCCGTTTCTTTCGAAACATGCTGTAAAGCTTTTTAAACGGGCTTAGTGGCCCCGCATTGGCCTTGTTGTTCTTTTTGCGTTTTTCGAGCGATCGTTTGGATATGTTGTGGTGAATGTGGATATTTTGCGCCTGATGGGGAGATGGGAACGGTGACGGGCTGGCGTAGGGGGATGGAGGGTTCGAGTACAGCGGATGGGGTAAGCCTGGTCTATCTTGAATGGGAGAACCTTCATGCCAGAGATTCATGTCGTAGTACCCTGCTAGGGGTGAGACTGGCGATGCTGGGTACATCTGTCCGTCAATTGGAAACGGAGCCGTGGATGGACGCGCAAAGGACATTGGCGACGGATAATCACCGTCTTCGTGGATGGGGGAGCCCGGCTCCCCCAGATCGCTTTCATCGGTCCAAGCCCTTGGTCGCAAAGGCGGCGGTCGACGTTGCGTGTAATTTAGGGATCGTGAGTCTTGGGTTTCCATATCTTCGGAACCCTTGTTCTGTAGGCGCTCCGAGATGGATGGTATAGGCTGGTGCGGAGTATCGCCCACGAGCTCTTCGTGGACTTTCTGTTCATCTTCCTCCGGTGCAGGACTCAATGGGGCAATGGCCCGAAGATACTCCTCTTCAGATATCGTTAGCCGCTCTTCAGTCGTCTCTATGTAAGATTCCCGATGGTGGCCGGTCGAGTCGCGAGATGAATAAGCATCGACATCTTCGATAAACGAAACTATTCGAGCGAAGTTGAGGGATTCATGAGGGTTGACGATTTCAAACGACGTGCCATGATCAATGACGGTTGCTGTTCGATTCTTCATGTTGAACAGGATCGAATCAGAGCGGGTGCGGGTGTGCTTATGAAAGGAGCCTTCCTGGTCTGGATTTGAATCCGGATATTTCTCCAATCTGTCCCGAAATGTGTCCTATATACCTTATGTTAACAGGAGAGAAGCAATTGCTGCCAGGAATTTTCCTACCAATAGTCTGTGGGGGTTCGATCTTGAGTATACCGGGCTGTCCGACGAATGTAGTTCTACATTCGGCGACACTGGGATGGCTGTCAGTATCCTGGTCTACCATGAAACTTTCGCATGCAAAACCATCGTCACTTACAAGCGAAGCCACAGAGACTCTCTGGTCCCTGCTCACTCATCGCGCTCGGCGAGTAAGATGGGGATAGCGGGGGAGGGCTCGATGCCGCGGACGACACGGAGAACGGATGCGCGGAGTGATGCGGATACATCGGGGTCTGATTGAGGTGTAAAGCGGCGTTCTTGCGCTTCAAGATGTGTCCCTCTTGACTTTCAAAGACAAAGGAGTCGCCGTCGGAGAGTTGTTTGCGATAGTGGTGGAGGGACAATGTTCCTGGAAATGCGGGCTGGCACATGGCCGGACTCGTGGTAGATAACTGTAGAGGGTCAGGGTCGAGACCGGGGGGAATTGATGATGTCGAGATTGAGTTCATAGCGGCTTGTTGGTGTAGAGATCCATGGCCCGAAGACCAGATATCCATGGTAATGGCCACGCCAGGCATCGCCGAACCCGGTTGTCTGGTGCTTAAAGCAGAAGGTGGAAAGTAGTAGTACCTGAGAACCAGCGGATGGAAGGTTAAGAATGAAACGAGAAAGAGAACCACCCGGGGATTTTGCGAGGTTGCATTGAGCACAATTGGATTGTTTTTATTTGTTGGTTTTAGGGGATTAATTATTTTTTTAACACCAACACAGGGTGTTTTTGTCACATGTAGTAGCAGGGCAACGGTGCTATCAGCATATTTCCTGCACGTTGATGTGACGGCAGAGCAAAGGGGAGTAAAATGAAAGCGAGACAGGATGTCTCAATTGACTGGATTGGGTAAGAAGTATAGAGTAGGCAGGGAGTAACAGTAAGAAGTAGTAAGCAGGAGGTGTAACACACAATACAATGAAAGTAGAAAGTATAGTAGCCGGAAGTAAGTAGTAGTAGTTACTTGGATCGCACCGGGCAATCCGAAAAAACTACTGCGATGGACCTTGCGAGGAATGGTAAGGGAAGTAGGTCAGTCAGTTTGACAGTAATAACAACGAAGACTCTTGGACAAGACAGACAGACCCGGCCATGGGCTGATGAAAGAACAGAAACACAGCTAAAGAACAGCAGCGTCACTTGACTGCCAGGTCAAGCTGCAGTTGACGTGCATCGCAGCCAATCATGGCGACGGCTCCGTTTTCAGTCTCAAAAACATGACCAGTCCAGCCCACTTGGGCATCAACTGCGTGGCTAGTAGTATTTTGAACTGTGTGGGAGGGATCCACTGCCCCATCCCTCCCTGCAAAGTACGACGGTGGTACTTACTACTTTCTATTGTCTAGTACCGTCGTAGATTCAAGTAGGAGATGGACACAGAGAGCGTGCGTGTTGTGTGTGTGGGCGTGGATGGGTGGGTGTGAGAACCAGAAAATCCAAAGTATCCAAAAGCATCCATCCATCTTGGATGGGCCAAACTCCGACCGAGTCATCATCATCATCATCTACTCCCACTTTGCACATCCCCATCTTACTCCCTCCCTTTTTTTTCCCTTTGACTTTCTCGTGCTCTGCCTCCTTCTTCCCTCCCCTTACCTCCCTGTCGAGACACGATCCTTCCGAATGACCTCAGCACTTCCCCCCCTCCCTCTCCATAGGAACCAATCTACCTACATTCCTGAAGATCCTGTTTCAACCCTTTCCCATCCAGGTGGTTTGAGATATGCCGTCCGGGCCACCCATTCGTCCGCAGCCTTTTCCCCGATCATCGTCCCGTCTGCCAATCAAACGTGGTTAACCCAGGTGTTTCAAGAGTCGGGCGCATTCAAGTCAGTCCGCTTCTATATTTGCCTGCTTCGCCCATTCCTTTCTTTGCTCCTCTCCGTTCATGTGTCCAGTCACACTAGGCATCCTCACCTCACCACCCTTATAAACCGAGCCATGCTATACGTCCAATTTGTCCGCCATTTGAGTTTCCCATACATCATATGTGGCTACGATGGTTCCCTCTCAATTCAATGAGGCTGACGGTTTCTGATCCACTCCGGAGAACTCTACTAGCCATCATCTTCCCGTTCCAGGCCTTGTCCCATCCCCAACACCTGGCGACTTCTATCGCCATTCGATAGCGCAGCCCATTAAGGTTGTTTGGGGTACCGCAAACAACTCGATAAACTAACTATAGTCGAAACCCAGTATCATCGAGGTGTCCCATCTTACAGTACATCATCTGTGCCAGGGTACTATTTTAGCACCGAGTGCGGATTTTCTCCGTTCGGCCAACCGATTGTAGCGTGGCATTCTCTCACCAACGAAGCCAAGACCGCCATCTCACAAGCCACGAGAGGGAACCACTCTCCATTGAACTACGTTGACCGAAAATGCAAGAGTGGAAACGTCACCAAGATCGGCCTTGTAAAGCCATGTACCTGCCAATGTTTCACAAGCACTCTGGAGCTGCGCTACGCCTGATCGTTTCTCAGGAGCTTCGTACCTGTCTCGTGATTTCCTTAGTAAAATGCCATGCAAATCTTGGTGGAACATTCCCGCAGACCCCAGATTACGACGCAGTACCGAAGACTTACTTACGGGAGCCTGGCCTAGACTGAGCCATCGCCGTGTAACTACCTCTTTAGTAAGTAGTAACGTTGAGTCGTCGAGCCGTTGACTGGTGGGCTGCGTATGTTTTGTACTCAAGGTCTATGCTTGGCTATACAATTTACAATGTCACATGATAAACCTCCAATGATGCATCAGCATCTCTACACACTTCGTCTCTTCACTACATCTAGAATAACTTCAGTTTTACTGTCACCAGTTGTGGTATTCGGGAATACCGAACCAATCCTGTCAACATGGACCATATTGGCAAGTGGGAGACTCACCCATGATACTGTTAATGCCATCACATCCATGTCTTCCACAAACTCTACTCCGAGCGATACTCAAGACCCATGGATAGATTGTGCCATGAGTCGGGCAGCAGATACGAACCGCATCACCTTTGCCTTGTCGCCAGACTGAATCTAGACTCGAAATCGTCCTCGCGGGTTTCGCAGTCTAGTTTTCTCCGGGTATATTGGAAGCCGATCTATGAGCTCCAGTTGACCTCATACAATTGTCTCTTGAGTCTATACGGTTGAAGGCGGCGATTGATTATAGCATCGTAGCAAGCTCGGAGAAACCTATTCTTTGTTTAGTGCATTTGTAGTCCGTATCGCCGGACCCCGAAGATTGCCATGCATAAGTTATTGAAGCTACAAAGTAAAGTGAACGGTGAGTTAAAGTCTGGGCAATCGCTCGCCAAGTCATCTACGCGGCTCAATGTCGCAGTGAACTACCGCCAGTAGTCTAAACAAGGCTATCTATGCGATTAACAACATTTACTCTCTCCTTCAATATCGGATCACATATAGAAAAGCAAGCCATAGGCACAGCTTGCAGGTGGTTAGTGG